GTTTTGCCTTTCGATATTTTACCTTTCGACGTTTAGCAAGCAAATCATTGAACATAATAAAATATATTTGAAAATTAAATGTTTGTAATGATTAAATATTATAATAATCATCAATATTTAATATAAATCGATTTAATTGTTTAAACTAAAAAAAAAATTAATAAATCAAATATATTTATTTAAGAAAATTTAATGAAATAATAATAATTAAAAGATCAGCAATAATATTATTATCCATATATGATTTGAAATAAAGTCTAAATGATGTCAATATTGATATGATAAAAGATTCTATGAAAATGACATTTTATAAGATTTTTAATACTCAAAAAGAGAATATTTATAAGTCGATATGAATATCAATAGATAAATCTTTAATATATATTTTCCTTTATACAACCATATATGTCTACGTGTTAATATTCTTTCTGGTAATGAGTCGTCGATATTCAACAGATATTCATTTTTTAATTGAAAGTATATAAATAAAAGAAAGATGTGGGTGTGTATTCTTCTCATTAATTACCTACACCCACACCATCAACACCCTTAAATATAATTTTATTCATTGTTTTAACGATAATCAATCCAAGTGTTGAGACAAGTCTCATCACAACTTTTTAAAATGATCATTTTTGAAAACTGTGTTAGATACTAATTTTGAAATGTTAAGCAGGATTGAATTCTATTTTATTGTTAGTCCGATATTTTGTCTAATCATTTTCAGTTTATAAATAATATTTTTAGGGATGAAAATTACATTGACATAAAATTTTATTAAATAGCAAGCTGAGAAATCGATATAAGAACTTTTTTCAGAAACAACACTTTCGGAACTTGTGAGGTTTCGCCTTCACGCCTAGCGTTCTTCATTTTTCAAGAGGTTAGAAATAATATCAATAGAAATTCATCAAATTTGCTTTTCATTATCTGATAGTCTATGCAAAAGACGGAAAATGTTGGTCTGTTTGATCGACATTTCTCGATTAATTGTCAAATCGAAGCGAATACTATATCAATAAATTAGAAAAGTTCTGAAGTAACGAAGAAATATTGATTATTGATGAATGAGTCGTCGCCATTGCCTGAATGATTCTTGAAATTTTTTTCTGTACAATACTGAAGGAAGGACAAAAACAAGAAAGATAAGCATCGATGGAGTAAATGAAACAAAATAACCAAAAATAAATAACAATCGATGGTTCGATGGATTGACACATTCTGATAACATTGACATAATTAGACGGGGTAAGGACAGAATCAGAAGAATAATTGGGCTGATTAATAATTGTTTGTGTTCACTAAGTTGATTATAAACATGTTCTCTCAGAGTTTGTCTTGTTTGAGCTGTTGATCTTTGTCGAGCTGATCCAAATATGATGAATAGAGCAGAGCAAAGATTGATAATACATGGAGCGACAAGATGAAAAAATAGTATGATCGTATCGTATTGTTGAACTGAAGGAGAATAACCGGTTACACACCATCTATCGATATCTACTTTGCTTGTCTCTGTCGTTATCTCATGTAATTCTCGGTGTATGGGTTCGTGAATGATTGATCCCATGACACACAATGGTAAGATGAGAATGATCCATCGAGCAATGCGTCGACTTTTCTGTTTATTGAAGTTGATTCCTTTGAAAACGAGAATCGCTCTTTCAATCGCTACACAAGCATTGAGCCAAGCATCCAAATAAAGACAAAGCTTGAGAAGAGGTTCGATCGATACACAACCTGCTCGAACAACAGAAAGACGAATCGATGGATTCATTTGAGTGAGAACCACAAACCAGAACTTCACTGTAAACATGCTGATGGTAAGAAAAGAAGTAATTGATGATGCTAAGAGATAGATCCCACATCCAACTTGTCGTAAATCTTTATTTTGAAATGTTAATATAGACAACAAACTGTTGATTAAACCTCCAACAAACATAATCATCGTTGTAGCGGCATTGATTTTCATCAGCACTGTTTGATCAGCCACTGTCATGTTCGGTCGAATTTCGTCACGTAAAATATCATCAAGAGTGACACCAATACTTTTTTTATAAAACTGACATTTTTGACCAATGAAACAACTGGTCAAAGCTCGAGCTAAAAAAACAAATACATGATCATCCAGAGTTGAAATCAATCTTTCTCAATTTAATAAAGTCATGTAGGCGCAAATTTGTAAGTAACAATAGTCTATCAAAGTGATTTGTCTATACATGACATGTTCTGTCTAGATTAGATTTATGTATTTCTATTTCCAGTTCAGTGTCTCACGATGACTTTGCTAAGTTTTATTAAGATATTTCTGAATATGAACCTGATAAATTTTCAAAGAATACAAAGTAATAAGATATCAGATAGTGTGAAGTCATTAGAGAATAGGTTGTCTCTAATATATCGTTGATGCGAGAAGAAAAGTTGTATTAATTCTCACCTAACTGATTGAACTCGTACAATCCATCTAATCACAACTAAGCTACAATACTGAGACTTAATCTTATCTGATTGGAAGAAAACTGCTTATTTTTAAAAGAGAGTTCCGATTTGATCCTATTTTTTGACAATAAATCTATTGAACTATATAATCTATTTGAAATTCTTAGATGTTCTAGTATTCAAGAGTGAAAATGAAGTCCAGTGGGATGTTGTAATTCTTTGTTGATGATTTACAAATATTATAAAATACTTACTGTAAGGATCAAGAGTAATGTTATCTGGACCAGATGTCAGAATGGAAAAGTTTCCTGTCGTATTTGAAGAAGATGTCGTCACCACTAATATGTATGTAGTACCAGTATAGAGATAAGCAATGAACTTGAAATCTTGAGAACTACATGCTCGATAATCCTGTGATAGTAGATTCTCAAAAGGATTCATTGGATTGAAATCATCTTTGTAAATATCACCAAATGTATCCATACTGCTATTACTACTCAGAGCATAATATCCAGTTTCCACTACATTCATTCGTATAGTTTGATAATAATAATTCGATTTTCGACAATCTCTAGAATATGTTTGACTACTCGTATTCAACTCTGATGAATAGTTCGATTGTACAGCTGATGAATATGGTATTTCGATGACTGATGGATAACCTATGTGATAAAAACAAAAATAACAGTCGAGATTCGTGATAGATCTTGATCGACTGAGTGAAAGACGAATCGTTTGGATATAAGAAAGAAAATTGAGTATCATAAGTCATCCCTTATATATCCTGAGTATCGAAAGACATGTCGAAGCTGAGCCTAACTTTTTGAAGAGACGACTTTCTATAGGATCACTCTCAATAAAATAATTAAGCCGTACATGGAGAGTGAGAATAGAATCTATAAACATTTTTCTGCACTCAAATCCTCGATAATGTATGTCACGAATGAGTTTGGGATATCTTCTCTATTTCGTAAATGGATAATGTCCCAAGGTTTTAGATAAAAAAAGTTGTTTATTTATAGTCTAATTCTCCTACTATTTTAATTTATTCAAAAATTAAAGTACGTAAAGATATTTTTTAGATTCATAGAAAGTAAGAATATGTTTATATTATTCATTTATGATAAGTTGTATTTGAATGTTTGCCGTATGTTTTTTATTATAGGATTATGGCGTCATAGGACATGTTATAATAAGAAGCAAAGATTTCTCATTTCATGATTACAAGCAGGGATTCATACTGATTTGTATACTATTCACATCAGATCAGCGATCGATTGAAACGGGTCTACATTCAAGGAGATTAATCTGATCCTATTTACAATATTCTGTTATTTGGTGGATCTAATGTGGCTGTTTGTGTAAAGCTTTCTTCTTATGATAGAAATGTCATACTACAAAACAAGTTTTTATTTGAGGATATGCTAAACTCAAGTAAATACTCATGTTAACATTGACAGATATTCATTTAATAGTTGTAGTGTAAACACTTACTAATATTCTTGAGATCAACATTATTTGGACCGGATACAAAGATCGAGAATGCACCTGTCTTATTGGAGTCATACGTTGTCACAATCAATATATATGTAACACTAATTTCAAGAGCAATTGTGAATTTAAATTGATGGTCATTGCAGCCGTCATCGTTGTATACCAGCCGATTTTCATTTGGATTTGATGGATTAAAATAATCCTTGTAAATAGAGCCGTATGTGTCCATATTGCTTTTGCTGAGGAAAGTGTAAAAATCACTTCTACGAACATTCACTTGTATCGCTTCATAGTAAGAAATTGACCCGGAACACCTAATAAAATACTTCGAACTGTTCGTTGTCAATTTTGATGCATGAACTGTTTGAACAACTGATGAAGTATTTACTAACAAAAAAGATTATCGATTCAGTTTTGTATAATATGGAAATAACTAGGAACCATTTAAAATATTACTTTCTCTCTCAAACACATTTACCGAAAGCGAATGAAAGTGATATGAATCTTAGTCTCTATCAAATAGAAATATCTGTATATCATTTTACAGATTGAGTTTATCTATATTTTCTACCGATGATATGGATATGTGCAATTGATTATCCATTAAAACACTCTAGATACTCACTGATGCTGTTAAAATCGATATAGCTTCGGCCAGATACTTCAATTGAAACATTTCCTGTTACATTTGAAGCAGATGTTGTCACAACGAAAACGTATTTCATATTAGCTTCAAGAACAGCTGTGAGTTGATATTGGCTTTGATTACGAGAGTCTCCATTTTTGCTGAGAATATTTTTGGACACATTGAATGGATTGAAATTATTTGTGTAGATATAAGCATACATGGTTTTCATCGTACTGTTGACTTGAAAAGTATAATATCCAGTTATATTGACGTTCATTTGTATCTCTTCATAATAAGAATCAAACTCTGAACAATCTTGAAAATAAATTGAACTATTTGGTGTCAACGATGATAAATACATTGATTTTACTAGTAATGAGCTATCTATTGAATGAAAAAAATCGTTGAGTATTTATATTTGCAATAAAGAAAAGAAATGATTGCGCATATTATAAGTTTGCTTTTCATTCTGTTTACTAATGAGAATTGCATCTTTTGTTTTGGAGTAATGCTTTGAGTAGACAAATGAAGGAAAACATGAAATAAAATATCTATTTAGCGTCCTTAAAATTCGCATGTTCTTCCAAGAGACATTGTAATAATTACAATAAAGATATGTTGTAAAACCTTGTGTACAAAAACGGGTACCACTGTGAACTAAGAAAGTTTGGTAAGTCATAGACTTACACATTTATGACTTCTTCATTATCATCTTTATCTTTAAACTTTTCTTCTTTTATAAATATAATGCAGAACATTAGTTTTTGTCGATATCATTAAGTATAACAATAAACTATATAATGACACTATCTCGTGAAGTTCTAGTCAATCTACGAGTATGGCATGATATCATCAAGAAAATGTCGATTGGAAATGACATTCAATCTTAATAAACCAAAATATTCTCATATTCGATCAATTGTTAAAATATTACAAGAGCGACTCGTTAGTTATTTTTTATTCTAATAAAGTGTGCCTTGAATAACCATGTAAGGATGGAACTTCGTCCTTCTTCTCTTTGTTGGCATTTTTTGTGAAGACACTGACCTACGTTTAAATCTTACTCCTTTGCGAGAATCCTTATTCTATTCTCGTTCGTCACTTAAAATCACAACCGCAACTATAACATAATCGTTTTCTGATCTCAAGAGTAAAGGTGATATTCTGAGTCTCTATGATTACGCCATGTGTTGTCGCCAACACTTGAGCATAGCCTCATTTCTCTATAATAGATACTTTATATCTACGAATTTGAAAGCACATTGAACAACTATGCAAAACGACTTTTTATTGTTTTCAAAGCAATTTGTGAAACTTTTTTTGTTCTGTAACATGAAACTGGACGCGAGAAATTTTTCTTCACATCAATATTTACTTTGACGTGTTTTTAATTCGATAAAGATTTGATGAATTTCGATGAAAACTTTCCTTCTCATGAGTGTCTTACTTTTCATAAAATCATTGTGTTCATTATTTTCTATAGTCAGCAGCGGTAAGTGAGCGCAGAGAATGGTGATTCCAAGAAAATCTATAAAGAAAATTCAACAAAAAAAGCTGAATTTATTTCTGACTTTCCTAACAAATACATAGACATTCTAACTTTCATCTGTACCATGCAACTAACATGGCGATAATGTTATCGATTGGCTTTTGTAAAGAATTACGAATAAACAAGGTTTTCATTTTATAACAATAGTATATTAGGATGAAACTTGAAATTTGAATTTAACTATTCAATAGTTCAGTTCGAATTTCATTAGGAGTTTCATTTTCATCTTCTACGATAGTTTTCTCTTTAATTCTCTGAATAAATATTGATTGAAATGATAGTAGAGACTTTATTCGATCATTCTAAACTTACCACACGATTCTTCAAAATATTGAAATTTTTGAATTCGAGAATTTCCTTGATCAGTAACAAATATGTTTCCAAAATGATCGAAACTAAAACTAAATGGCTTATTCATTTGATTGGATTGTGAACCCCATCCATAACATCCAACTAAACATCGAAAACCATTCACACCTGAGCCAACAATGCGATCATTGTTACTATCTACAATGAATAAATATTTCTCAGCATCTAATGTAATTCCATTTGGACAACGAAGTGTAATTGTTGGATTTAGTGATGTACTTCCAGCTACTGTAATACCATTTGATTCTTCTGACAGGAACAACTGAACTCGATCATTCCTACAATCTGTCACATATAAATCCAAATTCATATCAACAAAGATCCCGCCTGGACCAGCGAGTTGATTCGAGGCTGGCCCTGGACTACCTGTTCCAGCAATAATACGATTTGAAGACATCACAGAATCATTTAATGATGTTTTCAGTACTTGATCATGATTAAACATTGAACAATAAAGAGTATCATTGATATCGACAAACAAACCAAAACATGATGAGCTGACATTCATCACCGTGACAAATGTAGTTGTTCCTGCTATCCATCTCTGTACCTGACCATTGCCATATCCATCATCGATATAAATATCACCCTTTGATGTCACGAAGAGAGAGGCGGAGTTTGAAAAATTATCGTGAATGATCTTTGTTGGATTGACACTTTCTTCTTCCCACATTATAATTGTGTTATTTTGTTGATTAATAGCATAGATTGTGTTGTTTGTGTTCACAAAAATGGCGAGAGGATTTTTACCAACAATCGATTGATTAGCAGTGGTAATTCCATTGGGATTCCAAGTGGCTGTTGAACAAAACTTTAGCTGATTGAATGAAAGAGCTAAAAACAAGAAAAATAGAAAGAATATTAGAGAAGAACTGTGAATGAAATAAAATTGCTAATCTATATATTCGTAGAAGAAACATAAAGTTTCTTCAAAGATATTTTTCATGAAAAAGACATTTAGAAGTGTTTGTTAGCATTGACTTAAGGAATGATTTTATTAATTTTCATATGAAATATGAATTATGATATTGTAAAAATATTTTTGTCTAAAAAACATCGATGTTGATCATTCTAGATAAAGGATTTTCTCAAAAAATTTTCTGAAAGATCTGAACAAAATGTATCAAAGAACATAGTTGAATAAAACAAATTATTTATTTAAGGAAAAATAATCAACAGAAAAGAAGAAATCTTTATCAATCAAATTTCTTTCTTTGCAATTTTGAACTTTTCATTTGCCTTTCTAGAGTAATTTTTTTTATTATCAAGCTGGTTTCTAAAAAATAATTCTATAGATATATCATTGGAGATCTTTTTTGGCAATATTTGTTCAAAATTTCTCTAACTTTTTCCTGATAAACATTTAAAGTCAATTTGAAGCAGAAATCAAAGGGAAAAGATAAATGTTTCTATGTTATTCCAGTTGTCTATATTATTGAGAATATAACTCGATTTATCTTAGTAAATTTCATTAAGGAATAAAAGAAATAGTGTCACTACATGTCATATCGATACTGAATGAAAAGGAAAGAGAAGTGAGAAAAAAAGTATGATTTTTATGATCCACAAAAAGCCTTCTTGTCTCTTCTTAAACGCTCTTTGTATAAATTGTCGTACGAGCATTTTTTATCTCAAGAAACCTCAAAGATTCATCAAAGATCACAATATTTCGTCTTTGTTCAATATAAATAAAACAGATCTTTCTTTCTAATCTTATTAGTATCTATCAGATTTCTAAGTTCTTCCTATGTAATAAAAAATAAAACAAGGAAATCTTTATTTTCACGTGAAAAAAACGAATAATTCGCTTAAACCTAAAACAATCACTAACTACACATCTTCGAGAAAAAGTTAGATAAATATTAGGAAAACTAACAAATCTTTTATCAATCAGAAAATCTTTTTATCATTGAAGTTTAGAAATGTAAAAAAAGCTTTGTTACTTGGCTTATGTAAAATTTTCGTTCTAAGAACAATCTAGAATAGATTTGATTGAAAAGCAATTTGTTATATTGATCATCTTAAATAAACAAATTTGATTAAACAAATAACTATTTTTATTCAAAATCAGATGAATATATTTTATTTATTTTATCAAATAAACAGATTTTTTCTTTTATAGACAATATTCTTTGTTTATAATTATGGAAATAATAACATATAATATCGCTCATTAATAATTACATATGTCAGATTTACAGATTTACTTCAACTATCAAGTATTACTCTCTGCAATTAAATATTATGATGACTATCAAAAGAGCAAATCATTAATCAATCATTTCTGTCTGAGAAATTTCATTTTTTTATAATATTTCATATTGAAAGTTATCTCTCTCGAAGAGAAACAATGACTAAATTCATTTTACACAAAAAAGAAGAAAAATTAGCTTTCAGAGTTTTTACATTTTATTTGTCGTATTTTTCTTGAATCAGACTTATCCAAATATAAAATATGAAGTCAAATCATAGAATGATTTATATTGAAGCTATACCAGTAAAGATATATAGAGATTTTATTTCAATAAAAACTATTTCATTAATGAAATATTCTTTGACACATATGAAATAAAATATGAAAGCTCTTTTTACCACTCCATCAAAGACACAGCATTTTCTTTCTCTATTCTTTAATCTCATCGAAACCATGACGATTGTTTATCTTGTAGGATTGACATACGGCTCTGTCTAATCTAAACATTTCATTTCCTTAGATACATTCTTTCACATATTGGTTTAATTAATCTTTCTCAACCATTTCTGTTTCCTTTTGTGTTTTATATTGAAAAGGTCTTTATTAACTTTTGTTACTTCTCTATTCCCATCTCTTCATTTCCTGCAGCTTACCAAAAGAATCTTTCATCAATAAAAATTTTTGAATTCGAGAATTTAATTGATCAGTAATAAACATGTTTCCAGAATGATCGAAACTTAAACTAAATGGCTTATTCAATTGATTGGATTGTGAACCTATTCCATAACATCCAACTAAACATCGAAAACCGGTCAAGCCTGAACCAACAATGCGATGATTGTTATTATCCACAATGAATAAATATTTCTCAGCATCTAATGTAATTCCAGTTGGACGAACAAGTGTAATTGTTGGATTTAGTGATGTACTTCCAGCTACTGTGATACCGTTTGATTCTTCTAACTGAAACAACTGAACTCGATGATTTCCACAATCCGTCACATATAAATCCGAATTCACATCGACAAAGATTCCAAAAGGACCAGCGAGTTGATTCGAATCTGATCCTTCAATACCTGTTCCAGCAGCAACACGATTTGAAGTCATCAGAGTATCATTTAATGATGTTTTCACTACTTGATGATGATCAAACATTGAACAATAAAGAGTACTATTGATATTGACAAACAAACTATCACATGACGAGTTGACATTCATCACCGTGGCAAAAGTATTTGTTTCTGCTATCCATTTTTGTACCTGACCATTGTCATATCCATCATCGATATAAATATCACCATTTGATGTTACGAAGAGAGAGGCAGAGTTTGAAAAATTACCATGAATGATCTTTATTGGATTACTACCCTCTTCTTGCCACATTACAATTGTGTTATTTTCTCGATTAGCGACATAAATTGTGTTATTTGTGTTCACAAAAATGGCGCAAGGATATTCACCAACAATCGATCGATTAGCACTGGTGATTCCATTGGAATCCCAAATAGGTGTTGAACCCAACTTTGGCTGATTGAATGAAAGAGCTAAAAACAAGAAAAATAGAAAGAATATTAGAGAAGAAATGGAAACAAAATGATATTGTTCATTTATGTTTTTCTTGGAAAAATTCTTTGAAATTAATTTTGAAAAGATTTCGACAATTGCTGTTCTATATTCTCGGATGATTTATAAATATCAACTAAGAGAGGGCTGAGTTCATCGAAAAAGTTTAACTTTATTTAATGATTTTTCTGTTGTAAAAGAAAAATAATTATGCTCGATCTTAGAAAAGATCTGGTTTTTTTTGAAAACAAAAAAATAATCAAATCTTTTTTCCATTTGTTCAACGAAAATGAGTTCGAAGGAGGAAAAAAGAATTATTTAAAATGAAAATGACTTTACTGAAATTGACTGAGATCTAAACAAAAATGTCTTTGAAATTCAGAATCAATACTCATTTTCACATCAAAAACATTTGGAATTCATTCATGTTAAGTCATTTCAATTCAATATAATTAGTATGTGAAAGAGAGGAGAAAATTCTCTTGCTAATCTTTAATTAAATAGCCAGTCGAAAAAATTATTGTATAGAAATCTTTTCGGATAAAAATAAGAT